TGATGCTAATGAGTTCTACTCCCCCTCCCCACCCGAAAAGAATTCTGTTCCAACTGCCAGTTGCCTTATATTAACACGCTCTGATGCTAATGAGTTCTACTCCCCCTCCCCACCCGAAAAGAATTCTGTTCCAACTGCCAGTTGCCTTATATTAACACGCTCTGATGCTAATGAGTTCTACTCCCCCTCCCCAACTGAAAAGAACTCTGTTCCAACTGCCAGTTGCCTCACATTCCATTACCTCAGTTCAAACTGGTGAACAATCTACTCCTTCATTCAGGAGTGGTTTGGGGCTCCTTGCAGTAATAAACATCGGTACCTCACTAAAATGTCTATGCCTTCCACCTATGGAACTGCATCTGGACTCAAGGTGGCGGGAGCGATATTCCCTTATGTGTTCCAATCAATAACCACCACTGAGCCAAGGGATTGTGTCCCAAATTCCTCCTGCATAGGCCGATCACATAGCCCAATCCAGCTAGTCTGTTAATATTAGTGGAACTTCCTTATTCAGAGGCAGTAACCCATGAATAATAAATAAACCACCAAGTTTTCCCATTTATTATTCCTGGAGCAAGTCGCCTAGTTGCCCCCAAGTTACACATTTTCTGAGCTCTGTTACAAATCAAATGGAAAAGTTTCCCCCCTTTTTATTAGGGCCCATGTTTCTCTGGACCACTTATTTCGAAGTTTGAAAAGATGATTTATATTTCTGAAGCGTTTAGAAACCCGCAAAGCCCATTTAACTGGGAGAAAATGCTTGCGTACCCCAAGAGCAACTACAGCTCTCGCCGAAAATAGATTTGAGTCTTGTACTGCAAGAAAAACACGGCCCTGTAAAGAAAAGCAAGATTAAGGGATCTCCCATTTGAATTATGTTTGGTTGAAGGATGGAGTTAATTCCTCCATAAAGCTGAATTTTCAAATGCTGCAGATTTCAGGTTTTATATCTCCATTTAATACTCTTGATTCGGTCCCTTCCTTTGCTGCAATAAACATTGATTTCTAGACAGGTCTGAGCTTTGGAATTTATCAGATGTTGCAGGAATAAAACCTTCCTTTTGGTTGCGTTTGTCATTTAATCCCGGAGCTCGCAAGCAATCTTCCCCAAAGGCAATTTGGCTTATTGTGCCCCTATAAATACAAGTTAGGTCCTGCTTATCTATCAGCACAGGCCTGCCCTCCCTTCCTCTACAAATCCAATCTTTATGCAGATGTTTTCTGCTTGTCTGCACAAAACCAGCGCGCCGATTCTGCTGTAGCCATCTTTCACAGTCCATCAGATAGCAATTCAATATATGTTCTTGTTTTAAAGATGGATGCCAGGGGATGCTACTGAATTATGGGCCATAATAAGTTTGGTTGAAAGCTTGGGTTCTCAGCTGGAGAACTCTGATGCTGGGGTCCCTCAAAAATTGTGGTGAAATTGGAATTTAAGTTTGAAAGAAGAGAGGAATAGTTCATATACCACTGGTTCAAATGCCTCTTACAGATGCCTCTACTCAGAGTAAAGGTTAGTCAGTTTTTTTTTGCCATATAGTCACGTTAAATTGCAGCTCAGAAAATTTATTGCTCAAGCCTATACCCTAGAATCTAGTCAACTAAAGATCAATAGTAAATTTTTGCCAGATAAGGGTGAATGGAATTCAAGAGGAGTTGGAATTGGACCATTTGTGGGAACGTAAGGATTCCAGGCTGATGATTCACTTAACTCCACCTCTCCCCACCTTTCCTACATATGGGAATCCTTTAAGAAAATCAACAGAGGATACAATATAAGACACTGCAATGTATTTATTTCATAATAATTGTGAATTGGGGGAGGGGAGGTTTTCCTTAGTTTTGTTCCTATGTCAACAACCCCATGAAAGAGATGGCTTTTGGAGGAGATGTTTGAAGCCACCAGTGGGTTCCAAGGTCAAATGAGGACTCAATCCCAAATCAGTTCCTAGTTCTATATGAGAAATATTATGCTTCACAGGCATGTTGTGGCTCAGACTTGCTCAGTGAGAAGAACAAAGGAAATACAATGCGCAGCTGTGATTTTAAACCCTTGGGTGACAACATTGCTCTCCACCCTGATCCCGAAGACACACTTACCCAGCTAATCCACCGAAAATCTCAGTGACGTAGGAGTAGTCGCCTCCTGATTTAGGGATGGTAACTCCTAATTCAGCGTAACAGAGGGACCCAAGTGCTGAGATCCCACCTCCAAGTATCCATATTATGAGTGCGAGTCCCACTGACCCAGAATGCTCAAGAACTCCTTTGGGTGAAATAAAGATGCCAGAACCAATAATATTACCTAAAAGAGACAAAAGGTGAAAAGATATCGTTAATATTTGCAGTCTGCACCAAGTAGACCTTGTTTGACCCCCAAAAAGCAGATCTTGTCTGACCAAGTAAAATCATTTACTTGGACAAGAGACCATCTTGGAAGATGTCAATGACATTGCAGCCAAGAAAACAATAACGGATGAAAAACAGCAGTTGCAGGAATTGGATATGTCTAATTCAGGGGTTGACAACCTTAAACACTCAAAGAGCCACAAAGGTCCTAACCGGAAGCCCCTCTTTCAATTCTGGAGCTGACCGGAAGTGCGGTTCCCCCACCATAGAGTCTCCTCCTAACACGGTATCCTTTTACCTCAGGGACGTGCAGTCAGGGGAGTCAGGGGAGGCAGGGCCTCACCATTGTCATCATGAAAAGAAAAGAAAAATTAAAAGGAAAAAGGCTGAGGTAGTTGCTGCCAGAGTCACAGTGGATGACTCTGCTTAGTGCTTCACTGTTTAAAAAAGCCTCTAAAAAAAGTGCCCTCTGCAGGAGAAGGCGGGAGAACCCCG